TTAATACATATTCGTAATAAGATTTAATTTACCAATTCTCATCTCCATCCTCCTATTACAGAATTTATTCTTTATTTGCTCTTCCATTATCTTAATTATAATAAGGTTAAGGATTTAGTCTTAATAATTCTTAAATATTTTGTTATAATTAAGGGTACGCATGCCATAATAAAATAAGATTACTGTTTAGCTTTCCCAAATATAAACCCTATTAGTGGGGTGTAGTGATCAATGTTATTCAATTAGTGAGCGGGGTCTGTCAAACCTCAGAATAATAACCACTAATTTCATCCAATAACCCATAATAACTTACATTTAGACGGCTATACGAAACTAGTTTCGTTACAGGCAGACAGACGGACAGTTTAAGTATACTTTATAGCGATTTTTTTTCTGAAGAATTTTAGTTTTTCCTTCGATTATGAGACGGAGAAGAGCGTGGATTTTGTAATTTTTTTTTTTAAATAAAAATCTCATTTAAAATTAAAATGATATTCAAAGATTTAAGAAAACTGATAAAGAAGTAAAGTGAAAGAAAATAAAAATTTTTATATGTTACAATAAGCTTTGATATCCTTTCAAGAAAGGAAGAAAAAAAAGGGGGGAAATGTATAGAAGATAGAGAGGCAGCAACGTAATATAATTGCTTGAGTCTTTGACATAGTAGAAAGGAGATGAAAATTGGGACTTTTTCTCGGTTCCTGTCAAAGGACTAGAATAGGATTAAGTGCAGTGACTGTGTTACCTTTCTCTGCTGGTCTGGACATAGCACTCGGTGGGTGGCCATTTAGTAACTTCTCTGACTTGGCATGGAAGGCTTCTGGACCTTGGGAAGAAGATGTTGAAGACGGAGGTGGGATTTCTAAAAGACGAGATCAGATAAGGGGATTAGGAAAAAGGGTGGAAATATTCTGTAGATGCTATCTGAGATGTCCAGAATAATACAAAAATATATGTCACCGGTAAATTTATTTTATGTGACAAGTTACTTCATTCCTGAAGATGTAAAGAGTTGAAAAATTACAGTACAATTTAATTTAAAAAATTTTAAAGAAATTTTTATATACTTTTATAAGAAAAAAAATTTCTTAAATCATATTATTCAATCGATTTTCCTTTTTTTAAAATCGACGAAACGAAAATTAAATAAATATATATGTATTAAAAAAAATTCTTAAAATCTCTTAACCTTTCTTGCGAGTAGAAAAATTTAATAATAATAATAATAATAATAATATAGTGAGAAAAAATCATTTATAAAATACTTATATATAAGAATACAAGAGCCCTATTCACTGCACTTATACCTAATTCTAGTTTTAATTATATTATTATTATATAAGAAGAATGGAAGTCGTAAGAATATATTTTTGAGTGTTAGCGTTAAAAGATAATATGATGACCAGCAAACGACCAGTAGAGCACTAAAATAGAATCCTATTTTTCAAAATCGAAATCCTTACTTTCATTCGTGCGTGTATCTTCCATCTATTCTATATCTTTCACCTGGAGTCTTCGATGAAATGCGTTTTCCATCAAGCGATTCACTTCTATCGAACATGATGGTCATTGGACCAGAGCGTGAACTCTTATAGAAGGTCGAGAAAGAGGTCTTACTTCTTCTTAGCAAAAACTGTCGCAAATTTCTACTCCCCCGTCAATAGCAGAAGCATTCTTTACCAAGGAAAAGAGGTCAAACTGTAGGGCATGGGTGTTTTACCCACCCCAATATGACATCTTGGCCATCAGATGTTCATGACACTCCTGTCTGTTGTTGGAGTGGAAAGACCAAGAGAATGCCAAAGAATTGCTTTTCAAATGAAGATAAACGTTGGAAATTTACTAAGGAATTTTATTTCTCTTCTTAATTCCTTATAAACCTTTTATATATACTAATATATGAAATTTTTAATCTTTGTTAATTAAGTAAAGGATCAAAAAGAATCGAAGGAAAATAATTGAATTTTTAATAACCTACAATAATTAGTAAGAAAGTAATTAAATGTAAAAAAAAGAATATATATTAAAAAAATTAACAAAATTTCAATTAAAATGATTTCTAATGATCGTATATTAATGCGTTTAAGGTTAAAAATATAAAAATTCACAAAATAACAAAAATGTTTAACTTGTTTAAAGATTAAAAAAAGAGGAGAATTAATTTTAAAGCCAAATACTTTTAAAAACAACTTCGTATATCATTTGCATTTTTGAAACTACACTTTTAATTTTGGTATTTATAAAAAAAAATAAATAAAAAAGAGAGATAATAAATAAAAGTGAAAAAGCCAAAGAATCATCGTTCATCTTTCCCATGAACTAGAAACAGAAAGCAAAGGAGTGGAGTTTAAGTCAAGATGCTTCAGTTTTACAGCCGACATACGTTAGAGTTAGGCACGTATGGCATGTACTCCTTCCCAAATTGAGACTGCACCATATTACAGTTTTTTTCTCCTATCCAACTTGGCTGCCATGCCACAAAAAACAAAAAAAAAGAGGGAAGAAAAAAAAGAAGAGAGGCTTGGCATTCTTGCACTGTAAAAATCTCTAGTGCGTGCTCTTTTTTCCCTCTTCCTCCTCCTCCTCCTCCCTTTCTTGTCTCCTCCACCTCCTCTTCCGTTCTACTCTCACATCCAGTCGTAAAGAATGTAGATCTTCCTTAACGGCTGGGTCATGTTCAACTTTCTCTAGTGATCTACGTTACACTTGTGAGCTATTTATTGTCATCGAATTGGTCTCGATTCGCACGTTATCAGTAACCTCACTGGAATGGTACAGACTTTGTACTGAGGCTTGCTAATGCGATCAGCCTTTCCTTTAAAAGTCACCAACAGGAAATTAAGTGCTGGGTGAAAGAGCATTAGACAATTCGTTAGCTATAGAGTTTGAATTATCGTTCCGAATGAGTAAGGAAAGAAGATAACGTCTTGACAATATATATATATATATAGTTAGATAAAATATCGTTCGTTTCCTGCAAGTTTAGTAATTAAGTAGACGAGTATTCTTTCGGTTTCGACAGTTATAAATTTTATAAAGGTGATAAAAGTGATAGAAATTCGAATATTCTTGATATCTAGCAGACAGGAAACGGTTGATGCCATATTTGACGTTTTATCCGATAGCATCTAAAATATATCCCCAACTTCAACAGAATAGATCAATTAAGCGTGAAATCAAACTGTAAAGAGTTTTAAATTGTAAATTTATAACAATTTGACTTTATCTAAGTAACAATATGTTCACTCTTTTACGTGTTTTCCCTATTTTAAAGTGATTTTTTTCCACTTCATCCGTGCGGGAATTGGCTCAAAAATATCAAAATTTGATACGATCTTTCAGAGAATATATTTTAATATTTCAAATTTTTAAACTGAAATTACGGCTTAAAATCGCTTTAAATTTAAGAAAAAAAATATATTGTGACAAATTTAATCAATTTTTTCGGATGATTTTTTAATAAAGGATGTGAAAAGTAGGTTTTGAGAAGTTATACAATAACAATTTAGTAGAAAGCTCCATTTAAGCAAAGAGAGAGAGAGAAGTAGAAGAAAGTAGTAGTAGTAGTTGCATTTTAGAATCTGATTTTCCCCCACTTTCTGTTTTCTTTCGTACTCTGCTAGATTGGTTTTATGTCCCACAGCACCTGTAGGTTAATTCTCTTTCGGCGGTGAAAAGCTTACAACTTTTCGTAAATATTGACTTGCCTTATACAATATACCTTTAGTTATGTATAGCTTTAGGGGATACACACGAAGGAAGATATTGTGTAGAAATTCCTATAGAGAAATAAACTGGCAACATTCGACTCTGCTTCAGGCAATGAAAATGTCTACTTTATTTTATTTTATTTTATTTTTATCGAGGATTTTAGTTTTATTCAAAGTCGATTTAATCTAAATCCAAATATACTTTATTTTGCTTTATTTTTTTTCTATCATTACACTTCAATGCATAAATTTTTATAACCGATATGAAAGTATCCTTCGTTTCTTCCTCTTTTAGTCAATAAATATATGTTTGGATGATCAGTCAATGCCACAGGAAGGTCATTTCACCTAAAGATCTCCAGCTGAAGAGGAGGAGGAAATCTAGCAAGATTTCCTGGATATCAATCCAAGATAAATTTAGTATTCTGTATATATATATATATATATATATGTTTATTTATTTATTTATATATGTCTTCCCCTGAAGACAGCTAAAGTTTTATTGCATTAACTACATGGATTTTTAATTCCTAATTGCTTCAAGGAAATTTATTTGTCTTCAGTTTAACAAAGTGTTTCCTTTGAATTTATTATTATTATTATTATTATTATTGTTATTTTTAAAACAAATGTATTCATTTTTCCGTCCTTATCCTTAATTAATTTATAGAATTTTTGTTTATTATTATTAAGCTTGATTATAATTAAATTTTATTGCCATTTTATTCATTTATTTCCACTCCCTTTCTTCCATATTTATTAAATTTTTATCATTAATTTTACGTAATTACTTACCGTAAAGTCTAATGGTTCCTTCCGTTTCTCCTAGAGAATTTTTGGCAACACAAGTATAGGAGCCAAAATCTTCAGGACGGAGATTTCGCACCCTTAATTTCATTTGCACTTTATAAATTCCAGTGGGTAGTAGCATGCTGTCGTATTTGGCATTAGAAAGGATCATGACTCCACCCTCTCTGGTCCAGTATGTCACAGATCGTGGATGTGACTCCAAATTGCAGTCTAGAGTGACGTCAGTTCCTAAGGGAGCTCCTATCAACTGATTAGGTATCCATATCATTGGTGGAACTAGTAAAAAAAAAGGGGGGAGGAAGAAGATCGGTAAAAAAACCCACGAAAAAAATGTTATCTAATAACTATTTCGACAATTTTCTTCAGGCAATAATGAGTAATTTTTTAAAAAAATATTCACAAATTTTTTCCACTTCAGTTGCTATTTTTAGAATATTTTATTCTATTTTTTTTCTCCTCCCATCAGGTAATTTAGTAATCTAGTAATTTCCTAAATTATCTATTATTAAAAACATTTTTAGCAGAAAATAAAATAAATTTTAGTCATAATTTCGTTCATCGAATTGGTCTCGATTCGCACGTTATCAGTAACCTCACTGGAATGGTACAGACTTTGTACTGAGGCTTGCTAATGCGATCAGCCTTTCCTTTAAAAGTCACCAACAGGAAATTAAGTGCTGGGTGAAAGAGCATTAGACAATTCGTTAGCTATAGAGTTTGAATTATCGTTCCGAATGAGTAAGGAAAGAAGATAACGTCTTGACAATATATATATATATATAGTTAGATAAAATATCGTTCGTTTCCTGCAAGTTTAGTAATTAAGTAGACGAGTATTCTTTCGGTTTCGACAGTTATAAATTTTATAAAGGTGATAAAAGTGATAGAAATTCGAATATTCTTGATATCTAGCAGACAGGAAACGGTTGATGCCATATTTGACGTTTTATCCGATAGCATCTAAAATATATCCCCAACTTCAACAGAATAGATCAATTAAGCGTGAAATCAAACTGTAAAGAGTTTTAAATTGTAAATTTATAACAATTTGACTTTATCTAAGTAACAATATGTTCACTCTTTTACGTGTTTTCCCTATTTTAAAGTGATTTTTTTCCACTTCATCCGTGCGGGAATTGGCTCAAAAATATCAAAATTTGATACGATCTTTCAGAGAATATATTTTAATATTTCAAATTTTTAAACTGAAATTACGGCTTAAAATCGCTTTAAATTTAAGAAAAAAAATATATTGTGACAAATTTAATCAATTTTTTCGGATGATTTTTTAATAAAGGATGTGAAAAGTAGGTTTTGAGAAGTTATACAATAACAATTTAGTAGAAAGCTCCATTTAAGCAAAGAGAGAGAGAGAAGTAGAAGAAAGTAGTAGTAGTAGTTGCATTTTAGAATCTGATTTTCCCCCACTTTCTGTTTTCTTTCGTACTCTGCTAGATTGGTTTTATGTCCCACAGCACCTGTAGGTTAATTCTCTTTCGGCGGTGAAAAGCTTACAACTTTTCGTAAATATTGACTTGCCTTATACAATATACCTTTAGTTATGTATAGCTTTAGGGGATACACACGAAGGAAGATATTGTGTAGAAATTCCTATAGAGAAATAAACTGGCAACATTCGACTCTGCTTCAGGCAATGAAAATGTCTACTTTATTTTATTTTATTTTATTTTTATCGAGGATTTTAGTTTTATTCAAAGTCGATTTAATCTAAATCCAAATATACTTTATTTTGCTTTATTTTTTTTCTATCATTACACTTCAATGCATAAATTTTTATAACCGATATGAAAGTATCCTTCGTTTCTTCCTCTTTTAGTCAATAAATATATGTTTGGATGATCAGTCAATGCCACAGGAAGGTCATTTCACCTAAAGATCTCCAGCTGAAGAGGAGGAGGAAATCTAGCAAGATTTCCTGGATATCAATCCAAGATAAATTTAGTATTCTGTATATATATATATATATATATATGTTTATTTATTTATTTATATATGTCTTCCCCTGAAGACAGCTAAAGTTTTATTGCATTAACTACATGGATTTTTAATTCCTAATTGCTTCAAGGAAATTTATTTGTCTTCAGTTTAACAAAGTGTTTCCTTTGAATTTATTATTATTATTATTATTATTATTGTTATTTTTAAAACAAATGTATTCATTTTTCCGTCCTTATCCTTAATTAATTTATAGAATTTTTGTTTATTATTATTAAGCTTGATTATAATTAAATTTTATTGCCATTTTATTCATTTATTTCCACTCCCTTTCTTCCATATTTATTAAATTTTTATCATTAATTTTACGTAATTACTTACCGTAAAGTCTAATGGTTCCTTCCGTTTCTCCTAGAGAATTTTTGGCAACACAAGTATAGGAGCCAAAATCTTCAGGACGGAGATTTCGCACCCTTAATTTCATTTGCNTGCATTGTGTGTTACACGGTAACGAGAATTTCGAGTTATAACACGATTCTGTAAGGTGAGTAAAGTATACCTATCTGTATGGATCCAAGCCACCTAAAAATTTTAGCATAAATTTTAAAATCAATATAAGCAATATTAATATAGAAATAATATAAAAAAGTATAATATATATACGTGTTATTTAATACAATATATATTGGCTTATATATATATATATATAGAAAGAGAGAATTTATACGAAGAATGTCTTTATATCGAGAAAAGTTCGATATTTCAGCAACGTTTCTCCTTTCAAATAACTTATAGGCGAAGAATAGAAATTGCAGTATTGGGTTCATAAAAAATCGATCTTAACTGAGCAGGTGATAGAATCTATCCTTCTGTTCCTGATGCTCAATAGTGGATAAAATCGATAAGATTACTGCATTATGAGTTTATAGAAATGGTTTCTAGAAGAAAGAAAGAAAGAGAGAATTTATCGTCACGTATCAACCATTTTAAATCATAATAAAGTAAAAGTTGTGGTTTCTTGTATAAGTAGTGACATCGAAACGGCAATGATCAATATTAATATAATTTTCTAAGTTATCTTCTGTCACACTTTATTAAATTTTCGTTTTGCGGTCCACACGCATCGCATCACTGCTTTTTCCTGTTCATCCAACTGATTGTAATTAAACTTGCAACATGTCTATTGACCAATTTAGTTCGAGTTTGTAATATAAATCATTGTTTATTTGTCAAAATAATGAAAACCAGAAGAGTAATTCAAACAGAATTAGAATAATTGATATACACATATAAACGAGTGTATAAAGAATTTTATACATAACATTTAATAA